TGTGTGTGTGTGTGTGTGTGTGTGTGTGTGTGAGAGAGAGAGAGAGAGAGAGAGAGAGAGAGAGAGAGAGAGAGAGAGAGAGAGAGAGAGAGAGAGAGAGAGAGAGAGAGAGAGAGAGAGAGAGAGAGAGAGAGAGAGAGAGAGAGAGAGAGAGAGAGAGAGAGAGAGAGAGAGAGGGAGAGAAAGAGAAAGAGGGAGAGAAAGAAAGAGAGAGAGAGAACGAGAGAGAGTCGTCATTGGAACTCTGTCATGAGGCGACATTATGTGCCATGTCCATTGTGACCAGTTTTTTTTTTTTTCTATGAAAGGGAGCAGTCAATTTCTTTGTTTAAACAGAGGCTGAGAGGCCCCTGTATTAACCGGCTGCAGTGCAAAGACAACCCTTCACACATTGAGATGGGTCAGATATGCTGCTGGCTGTGCATGCATCCAAAATGAAGTTCTCAGTGCTATATCTGTGTACGAGTTAAGGCTTTTTATGATATGAAATGGCTTTTGATACAACCTCAAAACTAAATGACTTTGTAGATTTCAGCTATGCCATGTGCTTTTGTTGGGTTTAAAAATGAACAAATATGTTTTGTAGAGAAGTGCCAGCAAAGATGTTTTCCTCAGGTGACAATAGTGAACTTCACTAGCGAATGACAGCTAATTTAAGATGCAGGAATTTATAAAGAGAACTGTCATACGTGTTAAATGTACGTATACGTAATTGTATTTCTGTTTACTATTAAAGAACAGAGTATGGGCAATGCAATGTATGAAAATATTTTATAGTTGAAAAGTTTAACATCTTAATCTATGGTTTTGGGGTTGGTTAAAATATAAAAATAAAAAAGTCAAAAAGCTGCAATTTGCCCTTTCCACAGAGATTATTCCCACAGACAAGGAGGAGGTGGCCTTCAAGGACCTGGATGTGGCCATCCTGGTAGGGTCAATGCCCAGGAAGGAGGGGATGGAGAGAAAGGACCTGCTCAAAGCCAATGTGGCCATCTTTGAAAGCCAGGGAGTTGCCTTGGAGAAATATGCCAAGAAGACTGTCAAAGTAAGGACATGTACTTGTTCTGCTTTTGTTTCTGGGGCTGGATAGGAGTGGGATGGGATAAGTTGTAGAAACATTCTCCACAGCTTATTTGCCAAATATCTTTACAGAGTGGCTCCACTTGACAGGTTACAATTACTGTACCTATAATTAATCTGTCAATTTCATTCAATTTCAATTTCATACAACCGTATGTCCCACCACGCTCCCTGCGGTCAGCGGACCAGTTGCTCCTCACAGTTCCAGGAACTCGTCTTAAGCGCAGAGGTGACAGGGCCTTCTCTGTAGCAGGACCAAGACTCTGGAACGAGTTACCTCTGCTTGTCAGACAGGCCCCCTCCCTCTCGGTTTTCAAGTCCCGTTTAAAAACTCACTACTATTCAATAGCTTTCAACACAAGATGATCTGTGTTTTGATCCTGTATGCTCCACACTGGTTTGTCGTCATTATCTGCATCGTTTTTTGTCTATATTCTGATTTACCTCATTTTGTATTTTGCTTTGTGTGTTACCTGTTGTTTTGTCTATACAGCACTTTGGTTGGCCTTGTTGCTGTTTTAAGTGGTTTATAAATAAAGTGGTATGGTATGATAATTTCCTATACTGTCTTTGAGCTGTTGCCCACCTTCAGCAGTCATTGAGTAAGAGGTGGGATACACCCTGGACAGATAGCTAGTCCATCACAGAGCCACATGCAGACAGTCATGCACACACACACGCACATGCACGCACACATGCACGCACACACACACACACACACATACACACAAATGAATGCTTGTTTTCAGACTGTGGGAGGAACCAGAGTACCTTGAAAAAACCCATGCATGTACAAAAAGAACATGCAAACTCCATTCCGAAAGGTTCCAACCAAGTTTCAAGTATGCAACCTCCTTGCTGCAAGACAGTAGTGCTATCCATCTGCTCCAGTGTGCACAAACCTAGTATTATGAGATCAATCGGTTAAAAATAGTCTCACATTGTGTGCGTTTTCAGGTGCTGGTTGTGGGAAACCCTGCTAATACCAACTGTCTGGTTGCAGCCAAGTCTGCTCCCTCTATCCCCAAAGAGAACTTCTCCTGCCTCACCCGTCTGGACCACAACCGGGCTCGCTCTCAGGTTCAGTTTGAGCTCTATTTGCACTTCAGACTTTTATTAGCTACAAAAGCTGAATTTACTCTCTATCCTTCAGGTGGCAATGCGCTGTGGTGTTCCTGCCACTCATGTGAAGAACGTTATTATCTGGGGCAACCACTCATCCACTCAATACCCAGATGTGTACCACTGTAGGGTCAACATGTCTGGCGGTGAGCTCGCCTGCTTTGATGCAGTCAAGGATGATGCTTGGCTCCAAGGAGAGTTCATAGCTGTGAGTTAATGACAACTCCATTATCTAGAATTACAAATGGATTCTCACACATCAAAATAAACAGTTCAGTCAGATTAGATGAAAAAATTACACAAAATGTTACAGAAACATCTAAAAAAGTTAAATCTGGTGCTCTGGACATTCAAAAACAAAACAAAGCAAAACAACAACAAAAAATGTAGAAACGTTTTGTCTTTTATCCGAAAGACTTCCTCTGTCTGAGGTGCCTTGAAGGCCAAAGAAGAACACATTAAACAAAAACTAACAACGTGTCTAGATCAGACCACACTTCTGCAAGTGATGGACTGTACAGATCAGGCACGCTTAGCACAGCATGTCGAGTCCAAGACTTGACAACAAAACAAGTTTAACTTACTAATAACTAATCAAGTAATCAACTCATCATATTTCCAATAACAACACGTTCAGTGTAAGACAACACTCCAGTAGCCTGATGCATGCTCAATAATCCAGGTAGAAAAATCTAAAAAAGTTAAATCTGGTCCTCTGGACATTCAAAAAAAACAAAACAAAGCAAAACAACAAAAAATGTAGAAACGTTTCGTCTCTCATCCGAGAGACTTCCTCAGTCTGAGGTGCTGTATTCAGCTCAGTCTCTTAAATAGCGCCTTTTCAGAGTGGATCAACCAGTTTTGCTGCTGACAACCAAAAGCAGCTGATCACATGCTCAAGAAGGACCATCAGCATAACAATGGATCATTAGCACACTGATGGCTGTTTACTATTCACAAAGGGCTGAGTGATACTAGCAATCACAGCATTGTAAGAGGGGGACAACTGAACACGTAGGCCTCCACCCCTGTTTAACGATGGACGATTTCTTTTTTTTTTTTTTAATCTATCAGAGACTGAGACCTCACAGTCCAAGAAAGCCAACCTGCCATTTTTTACATCTTCTCGTGTGAATTTGATGTATTTATCCACAGAGTTGATGTGGTCAGTAAAATGTTGGACTTCCTGAGATTTAATTTTAACCCAGGTGTCATCAACATATCTGAACCAATGACTAGAGGACATTTGCAAACCGAGGTGTACCGCAAACCCACCCACACAGACCAGTATTTGCAGTTTGACTCCCATCACACTTTGGAGCACAAGTTAGGAGTCATCAGGACTCTGTATCACAGAGCAGACAGCATCCCCACTAGCTCGGGAGCCAGGCAGAAGGAGAAATCCTACACAAAACAGGCTCTAGAGCAATGTGGATATCCTAACTGGGCCTTCCTGAAAGCAGAGAAGAAACCCAAACAGGACTCCAGTCAGCCATTAGGTGAAAAGGAGGAACCCAGACCCAGACCAGTGGGCATTCCATATGTTGAGGGAGTATCAGAGAAACTGAGACGTTTATTTTCTAAACACAATGTCCCAGTGGCTTTTAAACCCC